GTACCACTCACTGTCTGGTCAGATTTCAAAATCTCAGAATTCACGTCTGGCCCACTTCCAGGTCAACCCTAGTGTCTAAACCTCTGAGTCATCCTAAGATTCAAGACAATCCAAGGATCAGGCTTGTCTCCACAGACTCTGTCTCCAGACCCACAATTGGGCCATGCTGCCCCTGAGGCCCAAGGTCTGAACTGCTCTCAGAGTGAGGCTTCCCCTTGGGGACAGGGTGAGCCCATGATCAGCCTTCAAGCTAGCTTCTGTGAATTCAGGTTTCAGGTCTGCCCTACATTCCAGCCCAGCCCAAAGCCAGGTGGACCATGCAGTCTGTGCTTCAGGCCTGTCCCAGCTCCAGGTTTATGCCTCTGACTCTAAGACACCAGACTGACCCCCACGAACACAGCCAGCTTGTTCCCTACACTCTTCCACTCCAGCGTGGCTACAGAGCTTCATGCTCTGATGAACTTAGCCCAGCACAGCCTTCACAGATGTATCATTCAGGCCCATATATAGTCTCTAGACAGCTTCCATCTCCAGCCCTCTAAATATGTAGCCCATAGCATCAGCCAGGACCCATTATCCCATATTCCAGACCAGTTTGTGGACGTAGGCACTGTACCTGTCATACTATCAAACTAGTCACAGAGACTCAGAATCCAGGCAAAAACTAAGCACACCCTAATTCTCCCACAAACCAAGGCTCTTAGAAGACCTCTACAGACCCTCCATCAAATCAGAGTGGACTGGGCCTACCCTTTCAGACTCAGGCTTCAGCCCCATCCCAGAGTACCCACAGCCCAGAACTGGCCAGGTACATAGCCAAACTTTGTAAATTCAGGCTCTAGGCCAGCTACAATTCCATGTTGGTCTCTGTAGACCTGGGAACTAGGACGGCCTCTTAGAGACCTAGACTGTACATCTTCCCTTCCAGATCCAGATCCAAGGCCCACCACAGAACCTAATCAGTAATCCATCTCACTGGATCCAAGCTCTGTGTAGAAGCAAGAATGTGAGATCTGTATAACAAATGCTATACAACAGTGACGAGGGAAATCAGACACAAATAAATGGAACAATATCCCGTACTCATGAGTTTGAAGAATATTGTTCTTCACACAGCCACCTGGTGGAAGGTTCACAACACTGGCTATTTTCCTCCTGGAAAGTGCAATTCCCTACCAGAATAGTTACTTCTTCTAGTCATGGATTTGTTTCTTCTGCAAGTAAAGTTTTTGACAATACTACCATCTGCGGGTTTAGAAAGACCTTATCTACCACCATGGTGTTCTACACAGCACAGCCTGAGAAGTGCAACAGTGGGCCTGGGCTCATGGGATCCACATTCTCTACCGTCCTGAAGCAGCTGTCCTGAAAGAAGGGTAGGCGGGCCTTCTGAAGACAGTCACAACACCAATCACGCGGCAGCAGCCTGGAGGGCTGGTGCAGGATTCTTTAGGAGCTAGTACATGCTTTGAATCAGCATCTAATACTTAGCACAGTTTCTTCCACAGCTAGGATTCATAGGTCCAGGAATCCAGGGGTAGAAATGAGAATGGTTCCCGTCACTACCATCCCCAGTGACCCACTAGAAATAAATTTGCTTCCTGTTTGTGTGACTATAAACTGCTAGCATAGCAGTTTATCTGACTTAGAAACTGACAGCAAAGCTATATAGAGCAAAACTGTATGGTACTGATAAAACAGGCAGTGGAACCAAAAAAATAGCCAAGCATTTATGATCAATTGACCTAAGAACACAAACTGAAAAAGAGTACAGTTTTTAAATAAATGGTTGGAATATACATAAGCAAAAGCATAAAATTATACCTCACACACCATGCACAAAAAGCAGTGTAACATGGATAGAACACTCACACGTAAGACTCAGGACCATAAAATCACTAGAAAAGAAAAACAGAAGAAAACTTTTGGCAGTGGTATGGACAATGGTTTTCTGGAAACTGACCCTGAAAGTACAGGCATCAAAAGCAGAAATAGCAAACGCACTTGAAGCAAAAAGCTTCTGTACAGAACTGAACTGTCAACAGGGGTAAGAGACACCTTATGGAACAAAGTTTATGTTTATAAACTGTCTATCTGATAGCATGGTAATAGCCAAGTCTCTCTCTCTCTCTCTCTCTCTACCTATCTATAAAACACTACTCAAGAATAAGAAAGCAAGTAATTCCATTTTAAGAATGGACAAAGGACCTAAGCAGATAATTAACAATAGAAGACACAAAAATGAAATGGGTTTTTGGGGAAAAAATGTTTAACATCATGTCTGATAAAGAAAATGCGAATTAAAACAATGAGATCTCACATCACATCCATTAGAAGATTAATGTTAGGACATTAAGACTACTAGAGTAAAAAATACAAGAATTAGCATGAAAGTAGAGGAGGCAGTACATTTATACTGCTGGTAGGAATGGAAGTTAATATAACCATTTTGGAAAAACAGAAATTTGGAAAAACAGTCTAGAAATTCCTAAAGAGAGAAGAGAGAGATCTAATGACCCCCTGTGGTTACACAGCCAAAGAAAGTGCCAACAGCACAAGGAAGAGGCATCTGCACGTTTTTGTTCATTGTAGCACTACCACCAGCCAGGACACAGAATCCACGTAAGTGTCTACCAACAATGACTGATAACAAAATGTTATACATATACACAAGGGAAAACCTCAACCTTAGGATAGGAAATCTGTCACCAGTGACAATGTGGATGAACCCAGAGGACACTGATGAGTGAACTAAGCCAGACTCAGAAACACTACACGATCTCATTTCCTTTTGCAACATATATATTTAAAAATAAATCTCATCCCACATGGCTAGAGGCCATGAAGCTGAGAGACAGCAAGGTAGGGGCAGAGTATGTGAAGAAGTCAGAAGGAGGTCAGGGAGAAAGGAAAATGATGTAATGATAGATTTTTTTTTTTTTTAATAAAAAGAACTCAAACTCAAAAACAGATCAGAGGTGGAGATGGAAGAAATGGGAAATGGGGAAGGCACAGAATCTCAGGAGGAAAAAACTCAACAGATCTACTGTACATTGTAGTGACTGCAGTTATGTCAGGCATACTCTTGAGAATGAAGAGACTGGAATTTGCATTCTTTCTCCACACAGGAAAGTATGTGAGGCAGCCCACAGGATATGTACATATTACACAGTGAGTACAAGAATCAAAACGGCATGTTTCACACCATAAAGGCATACAATTTTTACTTGTCAGAATAAATGTATAAAAATGGAGAAAAGGGATGTAGACTAACTTTGTAATTATTTGAGCTTTTTGTCCAATAAACTTTTCTCTGGAGTTCAAGGAAACACTAGAAGCTATTGACCAACATGGGGAAAGCTGAAAGTACAGGAGATGGAGGGTTAGAGGTCATAGGTATCCCTTTAATCATACCCTGTCAGTGAGATGACACTCACAATCTCTGTTCCTAATTGCCAGTAAGTAGCACCCATTCTCCAGACAGCAAAAACCAGAGAGACTACAAAGACAACGGGTTATCCTAGTCCTAGAGCTGCTGCTATCAGATTGCCTTCCTACTCGTGTCTGCTAGTTTTACTTAAGTCAGTAAGGGCGACTGCACAACTGGACAAAGAATATTTGTGTCTTTCTGCTAAAAGCCCACTGTCTCCATATATTCTAACCTTCGGTAAAAGGGTGATAGAAAAGTTGAAAGGTAAAAATCTTGAAGTACTGGCTTTCACTCAGTGGGCTTGCCATCCTATTCAGAGAAGTCACAGCGTGAGAGAAAACCAGAAGGCTCAAGCAGTCGAGAGCATGTTTACTGGCAAAGGACCTGAGACTGACTGCCAGCACCCACATGGTAGACCATAACTGTCCATAACTACAGTTCTAGGGAGCCTTCTGCCCTCTTCTATCCTCCGTAGGCAGCAGGCATGGACATGTGGACAGACACACATGTGAGCAAAACACCAAACTCATAAAAGCAGCAAATAAATCTTAATTTTTATTTATTTTTTTTTTTTTAGAAGACCAAAACAAAAAGAGAGAGAGAACTGACTGCAAGCATCAGCCTAGTCTCCGGGCTGTTACTATCTAAAATGCACAGAATTGAGCTTCTTACTGTAATTACATTTCGCTTTTCAGTGGAAAAGCTAAGGAAATTTTGATAAAGAAATAAAAAGAGCTGGGGTTAGGGATGTCGATCAGTGGCAGGGTGTACGCCTAGCAAGTTTAACGCCTTCATCCCTCAGATTTTACACCAATGAGAAGCTTCCTGTGTCCAGGCAATTCTGAGCAACATCCACATATCTAATATAAACTCTGTTTTGCTCAGGATATACCTTGCATAAGACAATATAAGACAATGGAATATCAAATTAATTCAGCTGTAAATTGTCTAAAGGTCTCTACTTTTTAATTTCATTTCTTAATTTCAGTTTCAACATATATTTTCTATTTTCCTCTTCACCCTTATTTAAAAAAAAAAAAAACAAATAACCAATTAAAACTGTTTTCAAAGATCAGGAGATGTTCCTGGATCTGGCACCTAATTCTTAATTATATACTTAATTCTCACTTCACAAGCTACCCAGTCATTTGGAGAGGGTTTTCTGTTTGTTTGTTTGTTTGAATGTATTTTTAGGCTAACTCCATGAACTTTTTTTGGCTCAGAGAATGCAATTCAATATAAACTCATATATATTTAAAAAGTAAATCTCTGGGGTAGGAAAATAAAAAGAGAAACTTTAAAAAAATTCAACTATGAAATTCTTGATTTCCTTTTGTTCTCACAATCACAACAAACTTGACTGGGTTACCTCACAGAATCTTCTAGAATACTAATTCAGTGGCGGCATGGCACAGGGCTGATATAACAGAATCAAAGAGGTGCTAAGGTGGTTTAATATGGTTGAAAAAGGTCAAAGGGAACACAGGAGGGCTCTAATTCTTGTTTCTCTTCATTTGTCGACATAAAAGGCAGAAGGTGACTTCCGGCTACAGTAAACTACAGGACCTACCTCCTCACAAACCGTGGAAAACCTGTTGAGAAACTGCACAGTGTGAACCACAAACTGGTTCAGAAACGCCACGGTTCTTTTCTGTTGAATAGCTGGCACCTGTGTTATGTAAAAACAAACACGATTCATACAGGAGAAACACACACCGTGCGATCCCTGGGATATCTGGATTTCATAAAGGGTATTGTTTTGCCCTGTGAGTGACATGAATTTCACCAAGGGCTGAGAACAGTCACTGATTTGTTTTCCTGAATCTTGCGTGAGTCAAAGTGACAGGAGCTGCATAAAGTTTGAGAATGTCACTCTCTCTCTCTCTCTCTCTCTCTCACACACACACACACACACACACACACAGAGCAGCTTGAGGGTGGACTAAGAGAATTATAAAATTTGAGAATGTCTCACACACACACACAGTCACACAGCAGCTTGAGGGTAGAGGAAGAAATCTGCAGTGTTAGAGTTAGCACTATTTCCAGACTGTCATCCTTGGGCGTAGACACGTGATGTGGGGAGCAAAGGCTGCTAGGCACACCACCTCTTTACTGGGCTCAGGAGGGAACTCTTTCAAAGCGGACTGCGGGGCTCCCCTTCCCCAAGCTAGCAAAAGAGAGGCTCGGGTTGGGCCTGGAAGGGTGGCGTCTCCCTGGGAACCGGGGGCCCTTGGCCAAGCCTCCTTCCCTGTTCTCCGGAAGCTCAACTCCATCTTTCTTTTACAAACCTTGGTCAGGTCTATGCCTGACCCCATGAGAGGAAGCCCATCCTCATCCATCTCCTCAGCGGATGGGGTCCCCGGAGCTCAGACTCAAGCCCCTCCCAGCCCGGTTGAGAGCCCCGACTTCTTTCCCCAATTCCTGCCTCCGGGGCCTTTCCGGAAGAAAGCGCCTGCGCTCACACCAATCAATCGGTGGCTTCCGAGAGCCCGCCCCGCCCCTTCGCTCTCGCTCAGCATTCTGGGATTGGTAGTTCGTGATACGGATGGTAAAGTTGGTTCCCGTAGTGTTGTTGATGGGCAGTGTGCACAGTTGCTGTTTAAACTGTAAAATCTGAAAAATATCTGAAAAGGGGAGAGAGAGGCACATACATAGAGGCAGAAAGAGACAGAGAAGAGAGAGAGAGAGAAAGAACACAGGGCAGGGATGAGTTGAGATTGGGGAAAATAAGAAGCTGAGCACCATCCATTTGAGATTTTATCTGCTTAGTCATGTTATATAAACAGATCTGCAATTCACTGAAGAGCAATACTCTTTCTGTGTAAGCCTAAGTGCCAGACCTTGTGAAGAATATAGAAATTGAACAGAATGAGTCTTCAGCTCTGGAGGGCCTCATGCCCTGAAGATCTGTTTCTAAAGGGTTGGGTTTGTTTTGGTTTTGGTTTTTTGACATAACGTAATATCAAGCTCCAGCTGAGACACAAACCTGTGAAAGTTTGTGCCACTTGTATCATGTAAAAGATCCCTGCACCTGGTGTTTGAGGACCTTGGGTCAGAGTTTGCCTGCACATCTTACCAGCTATGCATCTTGAGACAAGTTACCTAAAGCAAAAATAAACCTCATACCAAACACGAACTGAAGAGGTGAAGCGGATAGCCTCTGCCTTCAAAGCATAGTATGGGAAGTATGGGGAAGACATGCAGAATTTTGATGTGTAAAATTTAGTTGGGTGTGCAGACAAAACCTTGTGAAAGCATGGCATTGCAGAGAAGCACATACAGACACTTGTGTGCCCATGAGGGCATGCACCGCTGTGCACGCAACAGACACTTGTGTGCCCATGAGGGCATGCACCGCTGTGCACGCAAAGCGCTGTGACCCTGTAGGTAATAGGAGTTTCTAAGTGGCCCAAGAAAAGAGGAATAAGCCGACTTTAATAGCCACTTAACACGAAGAGGTGGTAAGATGACAGTCTGGAAAGAACCTTGGTACAGACAAAGCTACGGAGGCGTGAGGGCATATAGTATTTAGGGCAAAGGGAAAGCCGTGTGCTGGTGTAAGCAGAAATGCCCAGAAATGGAGAATAATGAGAAATAAGGCAGAAGTAGACACAAAAAGCTGACGAAGGACCTTTTATAAAAGATGAAAAGTCAGGATTTTCTAAATGTGATTCATGAGCCACTCACTAGTTGGGAGTGCTCCTTAAAATGCCCATTCTGTCACCTGGGAAACACAATCGCTGGTGTTTTAGGGCCCAAAGTTTGGTCTGTTGGTCGCTGCACAGTCACTGCTGTCCTGCTCGTCCAACACAGTGTCTTCTCACACACACACCCCCTTCTTGGATCATCTACAACAAGGACATTTGCTCAACCATGTTTGTGGCACTTTATTCGTAATAGCCAGAGTCTGGAGACAACCCAGATGTCCCTCAGTTGAGGAATGGATACAGAAATTGTGGTACATTTACATAATGGAATACTACTCAGCAACTAAAAACAAGGAAATCATAAAAATTTCAGGCAATTGGTGGGAACTAGAAAAGATCATCCTGGCTGGAGAGATGGCTCAGTGGTTACAAGCACTATCTGCCTTTCCAAAGGACCTGGGTTCAATTCTCAGCACCCACATGGCAGCTCATAACTGTCTGTAACTCCAGTCCCAAGGGATCTGACACCTTCACACTGATGCACATAAAATAAAATTAAATAAATTATTTAAAAAAGTAAAGATCATCCTGAGTAATATCCCAGAAGCAGAAAGACACATATGGTATATACTCACTTAAAGCGGATATTAGACATAATATAGGATAATCATACTAAAATCTGTACACCTAAAGAAGCTAAGCAAGAAGGAGGACCCTGAGTAGAATGCTCAATCCTCATTCAGAGAGGCAAACAGGATGGACATTGGAAGAGGAAGAAAACATGGAACAGGACATGAGCTTACCACAGAGGGCCTCTGAAAGATAACTCAAACTTTACTGATTGAGTTATCGAAGCAGATGCTGAGACTCATAGCCAAACTATAGGCAGAGTGCAGGGAATCTTATGAAAGAAGAGGGAGATAGAAAGCCCTGGAGGGGACAGGAGCTCCACAAGAAGAGCAACAGAACTGGCCACATGGGGTCTTTTCTGAGACTGATACTCCAACCAGGGGCCATGCATAGAGATAACCTAGAACCCCTGCTCAGCTGTAGCCCATGGCAGCTCAGTGTCCAAGTGGGTACCCTAGTAAAGGGAACATGGGCTGTCTCTGACATGAACTCAGTGGCTGGCTCTTTGACCACCCCCCTTGAGGGAGGAGCAGTCTTGCCAGGCCATAGAGGAAGACAATGCAGCCAGTCCTGATGAGGCCTGATAGGCTAGGGTCAGAAGGAAGGGGAAGAGGACCTCCTCTATGAGTGGACCTGAGGAGGAGCATGGGAGGAGAAAAGGGAGGGAGGGCAGGATTGGGAGGGGATGAGAAAGGGGGCTACAGCTGGAATACAAAGTGAATAAATTGTAGTAAGTAAAAAATAAATTAAAAATGAAAAAGTTAAAGCAACACCAAAGTTATGAATAATAAATAAATTTTCCCACATTATTTTTTTAATTGTAGAATTTCAAAAAATGCCCATTTTGGAGATTAGCCTCAGACAAACCAGAATCTCTGTTGGATGAGCTTTGATACCTGCATTTCAAATACCACAACCTGAAATTATTCTGATTGTGTTGTCTTCAGCAGGAGGGTCTTACTGTCAAGGTTCATGGGACCTCACTGGCCAATAGCTCTAGGAGAGGTAATACATTCCTAGTCCTAGGCTTTTTGTTATCTGGTATCTGGTAGAGGAATTGTTGCTTTGTAATAGGTTAGCTTCATTAAAATTATATGTGTGCATGTATACAGTTTATGAAGCTTTTACTCTGTAGGTTTCCATATGCCTTTTTCAAAAGTTGTGTGTGTTTGTGTGTGTGTTTCTTTAGTGTTAGTTATTCCTCCCTAGATTCCCTCCTCTAGACTACCTTTCTATATTTTCATTACCCATTCATTAGTTGATGGACATCTAAATGGTTTCGAATTCCTGGCTGTGGTGAATATAGTAGCAATGAACATGGATGAGCCGTTATCTCTAGAACAGGCTGTAGAGACCTCGGGTATATGCCCAAGGGTGGTATAGCCAAGTCACATGGTGGATAGATCTCTGGCTTTTTGGGGAAACATCAGATGGATTTCCAAAGTGGCTGCAACAGTTTGCATTCCCGTTGTCAGTTCCTCTTTTCCTGCAAATGACATTTGTTGGCATTTTATTTTTTTCATCTTAGCCATTTGACTGGGGTAAGACAAAAACTTCAAAGCAGTTTTAACTTGTATTTCTCTAATGGCCAAGGATAGACATTTAAAAAATGTTTCTCTGCTGTTGTATTTCATCATCTGTGAACTTTATTATCTGTCTATCTGTCTGTCTATCTATCTATCTATCTATCTATCTATCTATCTATCTATCTATCT